CGGTCGTCTCTCGTAACTGGTGTTTGGTCGCAGGTCTGACGCGTCACGTCCTTTCTTCAGCATGACATACAGGATCGCTGACATACTACTACCACTCACCTTCTCATCCGCCGTCCTCCGCACATCTTGCCTTTACTCGTACTGCTGCTTCGGTTTGCTCTCCGCGTCGGTGGACGCGACATTATTTTTATCGTGCGATACCTTACCCCCCCCCTGCGACACCCGTGTATGTCTAGACGTTCGCTGTATGCGTGCTTATGGTTGTGCTGTGATAGACTATGCCTGTTAGTGTAATGAAGTGACGAGCGGAAGGGGTAGTCGAGTGTTGTGGATTACGGTACCGTACGTGTAGAAACAAATCGATGTCGTGCCTGCACGGCTTACGGCGAGCGACGGTGATCCCCCGCGGCGTACAAAACAAAGCCTGAGGCACTCGTTCTGATCGCGTGCGATGGCGGGTGAATATGTACGCTCGCACGGCGTACATACCATATTAGTCATAACATTACTAGGGAATTTTCGCGGGCATCCTTACCGTCCCCGGCCGCCACTGCTGTGGATCCCTTTGTAGTGGAGAACGGTCCCCTTACGATGGGTGCTGCTCTACCAAACCTTCACAAAGGGCTTTACCGTAGCCGCGGCGGACGATGGTACAGATGCTCAGACTTGCCTTATCATGGATTTTACAGGATCTGGGGTAGAATACTCAGATATGCCCGCTGTGTCGATACCAGCGAGCGCGTCACAACGCGTTCACTTGCAACGATCATAGGACGAGCGGTCAGTCCAGGAGCACGAGTTGGAAGAACCAAATGTGCGCTACTCGTCCTCCAGATCATGTTACGCGCAGAGAATGCCCACATTGTCTGTGCGCACCGGCTACTAGGCATTGCAGGAATGCGGATATGGTACACAGGATGAGACATGTAGAGGAACAAATCGGAGACGGTGAAAGCAGCCCCCACAGCAGATTCCAAGGAGCTCGGGACTGGCTGCATATGCGCACGTTGACGCGTCTCGCGCGAACAGAGATGGAGAGACGACGGTGTCCTGGTGATGCCAGAGCACAAGACGGCTCGAAGGATCGCAGCAGGATTGCGGACAGCTGCACGTTGTCCCCTCTGTGTGTACGTAGATCAGCAGCGAGTAGCTGAATAGGGTAGAGCCCTCCGGCCAGTCCTGGTCTCGGTGGCTTGGGGGTTGCATTTTGCTTGGCTGTCCTTCGAAGACCGCTTCAATTGACAGTACTACAGTCCTTGCGCGCATCGGGCGGGCTCACGCCCGCCGTCGACGCGCCACGACTGTGCTTTCCTACACGATGGAGTTTGTGGCGGGCTTCGGTCGGGCTGGTCCTGCCTTCAGCCCGCTCTTGCCTACCAGCACAAGCTGAGGAGTGCTAGCGGACCCCTTAGAATTACATGCAGCACTTGTCCACTTGGAACGCGAAGCCACGCGGGCTGGTACCCCCCACAGGAGCTGGGATATACTGCCCTACAGACCTGGCACGTGGCTGGGAAAATCTGGAGCTGCACATTGTGCATCGACGTCGACTGGGTGCGGGCAGACTGGCTGGGAGAGGACGCGTATGCGCGCGCCCACACCACCAAAGAACACGACGTGCAGAGGCGTAGGCTTCGAAACAAAGCGACGCACCACGTCATAGGTGCTGGTTCAACGATGAAATGAGGGCATCCGGCGACGATCCGCTGACAACCGCGGTAGGACGCGTCGCGACCGTGTCGTAAACGCGCCAAACGCGTGCGCAGGTGATTCTCATCCTGTGGCAGGCTCCGACGTGTCCGTGCACCTGCGTAGAGATGAAGCTCACCTTGGGTTTCCT